TCGGAAATATTGAAGGGGAAGCGACAAATGTCGGACAACAGCAGAATCGGGAGTTTTCTTCTCTGTCTTCTGCATACGGGGCATTGAGGTAAAATAATCTTCTGCCCTATTGCATCATTTTGAATCCTTGTCTTCCTTTCGGAGAAATCTCCTTAGGCATCTGTCTTCATATGACGTTAGTTTTTGCACGAACGTTAAACCCCTAACACAAAAATCTTGGAAGCCTTTGTCTTACGTTGTTGGTGAACGTCCAAGTCACGGCAACAAACGTTTCGGGGACCCAAAGCATCAAAATCAGTCGGAGACTGCTCATCTGTTATATGGATGACAGTGAAGCAGTTTCTCCTGGCAACACTCTTTAACTCTGTAAACGTTTCCCGGTCTATCTTATTTGACCTTACCAAGGTAGTTGCAGCATGGTGGAAAAGTAATCTGTTTCCGAAAATGGATATTTTCTTGTTTAAAACCGCAACATATTATGTCCATTTCTTTTCATTATATTTGGAACGCTTAGTATATGTGTTTTTGTGAAACTTCAAAAAAGCACGTCTTTGATCTGATTCACCCCTCTATCATAACAAAAATACGTTTGCAAGGCAAAGTACTAACGTCCGCTATACCACCTACTTGTTCTGAAGTCTAAAAGCTTAAAGGAGTACGAGGCAAATACATGGTCGTATTGATATATCTCTGGTCAGTGAAAGCTAACAGGCCTATTCAAACGTTCTGTATGCATTGAGGGAAAGCTCTCAATGTTGTCCCAGGTGTCCGTTGAAGATTTTACAAGAAAAGATCTATGAATAAATTAATTCCTTATATTGGTGCAGACTGTTCACTCGAGCTTTACCGAGGGAGTTTGCAGTAAGGCAGTAACCTGTTTTGTTCAAGTGCATGCCACCATTTTCTTTTGGTGTTTGCGGTTTTCCCCTCATATGAAGATGATTTCAATCATATGGCCTTTGTTATGGCTCCTGCGATTTTCTTTGCGCCAATACATTAGTGTAATTGTCTACTGTTCTCCTTTGAAGCTTCGCCTTCCTTTTTCCTGCTACAACGATACATAAACATGACGATACGATAGAATCAAGATACTGTGGCCACAATACGATACGTATCACGAAACTGTGGTCACAATACGATACGTATCACGATACATATAGTAACATAAGAAGCAAAGAGAACAGATTTATTGCAACTTTTTAATGGCAATGGCAATGTTACAACTGGAAACAGACTTAGTCCAAATTGGGATAGACTTTCAATTATTCAAGCCGAGCTTGAGCTGTCACTAGCCATTTTGGAACCGATATGAGTAAACAAAATATTCAGAAACAAAAAAACCTGAAAATATTGTAGGTGTATTGTAACCCCAAAAATATTGTGTATCGTACCGTGCTCAAAAGATCGCGATATATCGTTGCAGCCCTAGTATAGTTATGTATCATTAGTCTGATGTCTTATATTCCCCTGGTGGAAGGTCGTTTGTAGTTGTCTGGTATTTGAGTCCGGACGTTTGCAGCCCCTTCTCTGAATCCTGTTAGGCACTTTCTATTCCAATAACAGGATATTTTAGTAACTTGCAATTTGTTTCTCCTTTTATTTGACTTATCATGTTCACTTTTTAAAAATAGACTAACCAGATAGACTTTTCTGTAAAACAGTTCCTATTACAAATGTCCAGGGTTTATTTGAACTGTGTTTTGATGCCACTGAGTGTACGCGTAAGTTTGAAAACAAAATTAAGTTCATGTCTATAATTTGTACTTGTGCTGTGGTAATTAAGGAACAAATATGAACCAAACACAAAATAGCATGACGTCAACAGTCAGTCAATCAAAATCTTCGGGACAATAATTATTTGATTATTTTCAATACAGACCGTTATTGACACAGAATACTGCAAGTATTTACTGGGAATCAGGCCGTGTATGACCTTATCTGGAGGAACACGGATCTAACGATTGTTATTTTATTATTACATGTTTAACGAACCATCAGTACAGGAAAGGTCATAAGGGCCAACAAATGGTCCGGATCTAACGGGAACGAGAGGAGCAGGGAGATCGGACACGGATTTGTCGTCATCGGGAGAGTCATCCAGATTGAGTCAAGTTGCATTAAAAAAACAAAGACTGTTTTCCAGTGTACGTTTTTGTTTTGTTTTCATGACTCAAATAATCATTATAAATAATGTTTTCAGTGAAGTACATCAATTGCAATACATGGGGTGAGCAAACGACTTCGTGTATCATATATACATAAACTGGTTATATTTACATGTCTTTGACATGAAAGAGAAAAGAGCATCCCGTACTTTCTTAAACAAAATCTGTTTGTCATTATCTCTTAAATCGGTTCTGTACAATGTATGTTCAGGCTTAACAATTCCCATGGTCTGTATCCTGTCAACATCCTATACTCAAACTTTTATATCCAACTCTTTTACAGTTCATTTTCATAGTAAAGCTGATTTGTCGTGGACGATTTCTCTTGTTATGCGTTCTCTTAAATGTATACATTTGTTCCTTTATAGCGTTTTCTTTCTTTCATTTTTTTCATAGCTAGCTCAGGTATGCATGACACAGATAGACTGTATAACATATAAAACAAGACAAAATACAATGTGAATATAATTTTACTTCAATCATGTAACAAAGAGGAGCTACAAAGCCCATCACCGGCAAGGTGCAATATTGAGCGGTGTGCAGATTCTAAACTCATCTACAGCGACGAACAGTCCTAATAAATAACACATGTGCAAATAGAACAGTAACGTAAAAGCACTAAAGACAAATACTGATTTGTGCATGAACACTATAAATATATATATATATATATAAATCTATAATAGAAAGCGTACAACATACATAGTCCTAGTGTAACTGGCAAGGCTATGTTTCCATAGTAACGTAATACTGATGTGGTTTGTGATAAGAAATCATTAGCTGTGTATTGCACGTCCCTCATTTATAGAATGATCACATGATCACTGTCAACAACCAATCAGATAATCTCCGAACTTCAAAAAGCCAAGATCACCGTTCTTCTTCCACAAGTTAGAGCACCTAAATCCCAATTCCTTTTCTACAAGCCTGCAACAGGAAAAAAAGATGCTTTACTACAAAGCAAAGACTGTCTGTAAATGTTCCGTATTCACAGATGATATGGTGCTGTTTATGATTATAGGAGGGTTATACATCATTGGAATTTAGGAATAGTTTCTAGGATATTCAATGTTGATGTCGGTCAACTTTATCTGATACCGGAAATTGTGATATCTCTACTATGTATGTCAATAAGCTACTTGACCAGATGATACGTCTAAAGACAACTGGTGAAATAAAAAAAATCTAAAATATCCATAGACATATGATGGGCCAAAACTGTCAGTTGAGTCCGTACTATGATGGGGCAATACTGTCAGTTGAGTCCGTGCTATGATGGGGCAATACTGTCAGTTGAGTCCGTGTTATGATGGGGTAATACTGTCAGTTGAGACCGTGCTATGATGGGGTAATACTGTCAGTTGAGTCCGTGCTATGACGGGGTAATACTGTCAGTTGAGTCCGTGCTGTGATGGGGCAATACTGTCAGTTGAGTCCGTGCTATGATTGAACAATACTGTCAGTTGAGTCCTTGCTATGATGGGTCAATGTTGTCAGTTGAATCCGTGCTATGATGGGACAATACTGCCAGTTGAGTCCGTGCTATGATGGGGTAATACTGTCAGTTGAATCCGTGCTATGATGTGACAATACTGTCAGTTGAGTCCGTGCTATGATGGGGGTAATACTGTCAGTTGAGTCCGTGCTATGATAGGGTAATACTGTCAGTTGAGTCCGTGCTATGATGGGGTAATACTGTCAGTTGAGTCCGTGCTATGAT